CATCGCTCCCAGTCGCCGAGCCTGGCCAAAGCGCTGCCATTTCAGAGGACTTCACTGTCTCTTAAAATCTTTATTTTTTTTCTTTTCTCCATGATGATTTGCATTTTACTTATCTGTTTTCTTCTCTTCTTCCAAAAAGCATTCCTTCTATGTAGCTGGGTAATACGATCGTGAAGCTATAAAAACGACGACAATAAAAATATAGATATTTTTATAAATATATGAATCCCTGCAGGCAACGTGGCTTTTCAGCTCCACCAAAAAGGTTCATGTACAGATTGCATAAGCAAAGAATTTCGACATTCTTTACACTTTTTTTTGTGTTTCTTTTTTTTTTTAAAAAGGAAATTTTGTTTTCTCTTCTTCGTATTGCAGGCACAGAACGGCTACTCTGGCACTCGAAATGCGAGCATGGAGGCTGGGAGGTCAGCGCCCCCCAGGTTCAACATTCTGCTTGGTGAAAAAAAAAACCAACAAAATGCAAAAATGAAAAATAAACAAAAAAAAATCATATATGATAGATCATCTTGGCAAGAGATTAGTTCCTTCAGGCCAAACAGTGCTTCTTGACTTTTTATACAGCAAATTAAAAAAAAAAAAAACAACAACAAAACCCAAAAAGAAGTTTTTTTCTTTTTACCCTGAACAGCTCAACACCACAAATCCCCAGGCACCACCACGCAGTTCCACTGGAAGATCCTTCACTATGGTTTCCACCTCGGCGCCCCACCCTCGCGCCTCCATGGGCACGCTGCCCTCCTGTCCATCCGTCCGTCTGTCCGCCCGGGATGGCCTCACGTCCGGATGACGCCGTTGCAGGGGGGGTGGTGCTTGGGCAGGCAGGGCTCATCAGGCAGCAGGTCATGTGCAAACACCGAGTCGTCCCCAGACGAGCAGGTGCTGTGGGTGTCCTGGCCGGCTGGCGAGTACTGCTCAAAGGGCACTGAGAGGTCCAGGTACTCCTGCCAGGGTGACAGAGCCATCAACGCTGGGTGCCGCCCACCCACTGGTGACCGAGGGACCCCTCCCTGCGCCCACCCCACCATACTCACGTCGGTGGACGTCACGGTGAGGACTCTATCCAGGTCTTCCACCAGCTGCTTGAAGGTAGGCCGCTGCGAGGGGACGGCATGCCAGCACTCCCGCATGATCATGTACCTGCATGAGGGGAGAGGGAAGCATCACCCGTGGTGACAGGCCACTAAGCGGTGCCCACCTGTCTGCTCACCCACCCCCAAATCGTCTGAGAGAATGGCTATGGACAAGACAACCTCAGCCATGGTGGCCTTGGTGCGTGGCCAGCAGCAGAGGGGGAGGAGGAGAGTTTTGTGGAGCCACGCTCCTCATTACTGATCATCTCACGCTCTTGAAGAAGGAGGAGGAACTGTCTTAAAAATGACATGCCAGAGCTTTACCCCCAGCTGCCACCAGCCAAATGAGAGCAGGCACGTTGTGTCTGCCTGGCAGTCATGGACTGAGCCAAAACACATCAGGATGCACGAACCCACCCGCGGACGGCCCCACAATTGCACGGCAGGGATGTCCCACCAGCCTGAACCATGGCCTGGAGTGGCATTTGGTCACAGAGGGAAGGGGGGGTGGGGAGGAGAAGTCACTCCCACTACAAACTCACAGGTCGTGCGTGCAGTTTGCGGGTTTGTCCATCCGATGGCCTTCCTTCAAGAGCTTGAAGAGTTCCTCAACGGGAATCCCCGGATATGGAGACCCTCCCAAAGTGAAGATCTCCCATAGTAGCACTCCAAAAGACCAGCTGGAAACCAAAGAAAGATCTTTAAAATTCAATGAGCTTTTTTTCCAAGCCCCCCCCCCATATCCCCTCCCCTCCGCTCAGCTTTATTTCTGTGCAGCCATGCATAGCTAACAAAGTCATCAATAGCATGACTAATTGCCTAGGCCATTTTTACTAGTTACTTGGAGATCTCTGCTGATCCAACTCAATAGCAAAGAAATCCCAGGCACCAAGTCTGAAATTGAAATGAGCATTTAATCAGATAGGTGACAGCCCATCTATTACCCCCAGCTCTTTGTTAGGTCTTCCACCAGCTCCACTGAATGGAACAAATCAAATTATTCATGCACAGCTTCACTGAATTGCAGGCTTGGAACCACAGGCCACTAATTGTGCAAGCTGATACCAAAACTTGCTTGTTACAACACTCATTTCACTGGGCAAGCTGGGAGAAAAATACCCCAACAAAAATCAGCAGAGTGCTAATGTTACACACTCCAGTCCTGCAGCTGTGCTCTGCTTAAAAGTCCTCTTTTTCAAAAAATATCTTTTGCCTTCTTCATTTTCTTTTTGAAAACAGGGATTATCTGTCTCTGTTTCACTTTCACGCGCGCTTGCTCTCCCGTCCTCTAGCTTTGATTTATCTGTCATGCCCGCTGCAGCATTACCTAAGCATGGAAACTATGATTTAAGATCAATAAAAGCCAAAGTATGTGAAAAACACAGAAAGAGAAAAGCTTCACTTGTCCAATCGCAAGCGGAGAGCCTCGGGAGCAGGCAGGCTGGCTGCTGAATTACTCTAAAAATGCCATTATCGCCCAAATATTGAAATAAAAAAGCTGGTGTGTCTGGTGAGCTACTTCAGCCCTTGCGATGGGATACAGATTTACATGTAACGCAGGCTCGGCTGTTTGCTTACCGTGCCGAGGCACCAAAACCGACAAGACGGGATTAGGAAAAATAAAGGCAAATAAATGAAGTGGCAAAATTAATCCCAGAATATATTTGTTGAATGTGCTCTGATCAACACCACGAGCAGCAGCCAGAATATTTCGAGCTCATCCCACACACTCAACTGAAGCGTAACTGTCTGGGGCAAAGCGCGGAGGAAGCCAAGGGTAATGTTTTCTGCATGGAGGTTTTTTTTGCATGATTTTTTTTTTGACTGCAGGATGAATCTCCTCATCTATAAACTGGACCAAAAATACCTGCCTGCCTTCCAATATTTTTGCAGCAGCTCTCTTGAGATCCTCAGATGAAAGCAACTGGATAACAGTAAAATAAAACCATGTGTGTGCAAAGCTGCAGCTTGGAACAGATTCATTTGCTTTTGCATCCCCGGCACCCCAGCAGTGAACAAGCCCTGCTCAAGCTTAGCAGCGTGTCTGACACTGTAGGTGTTGATTTTCCTGTCATTTTATTATGTTTTTTTTTTTAAAGCGTGGGTATGCTTACACATCGCTCTGGTGAGTATAGACCCGGTCAAACAAGGCTTCTGGAGCCATCCATTTCACAGGCAGCCGACCCTGTAATTAGGAAGACAATGGGAACATCCCATCAGCATATTCCCCCAGCCACAACGGCACCATCTGAATCTTCTCTTCTAATCCAGTTTGAAACATTTTCATTAACAACCACATCTGCCTTCCCGGTCACTGGGCAAAGCAGTAGTGGCCACATCTAAACAGATTAGAGCATTTGATCCCTGGATCTTCGCTGACAATCTTTGCAGTAAATGCTCTCTGTGGAGAACTGCATTCACTGCCAAGGCAGGTTTACCTTATCGAAGCATCTAAATCTTTGCATGGGAACACCATCCATCGCTCATCAATGCAGCGAGCCCTGCAGCAGGGCACGGGACACCGCTTTCCAGCTCTTCGGTTGGAAGAAGCGGTTTGACTCAAAAACCTCAAAAATCCAAACCCTGCTTTAGGCTGAACTTGAAGGGAAACTTCCAAGACTGAAAGGCAAGGGCCAGACCCTCTAAGAATCAAATTCTGATCCTGCTGAAGGCTATGATCCCAAGTTCTGAGGGGAACATCCTACATCACAGTCACAAACATGGGTTGTCACATATGAGAAATACGAGATGAGAAAAGACTAGATTAATCGTAATTCTCTGGGGCTTTGCTTGGCCCCCAGAGAGAGTCAGAAAGGACTGTTGTGTTTGAGGCATAACTTGGCTACAGGGGCCTTTGTCCTCTTCTGACCCAGTGTCTCATGGGGGAGACAACTAGAGATGGGACATAAGCAGGGTGCACAAATGGGATTGTGCTCTCAGCTGTCCAACACAGCCCAAACAGGGAAAATCCACCTGATCGACAACTAAAATTCCTGAGCATTTTTATGAATTTATTATTAAGAAATCCCAGCAATTAAGAAAGATCTCTCATATGATATTGGAAAGGGTCAGTATGGGCACATTGGGCTTTGCAGGACTACCTGGACATTTAGACCCCTTGCAGCTGCAGTGCTCTCAACCTCTTCCACTGCCACCTCCACACTCTGTTGTAGTTGCAGCTTTTGCTCCGTGCTCAACATCTGCCGCAGGGCTCTGAACCAAGACACAGGTCCAGCCCTTCATTCCTAAATTAATCTCTAAGGAAAATACAAATGACTCCGGGACTCAGCCCTTGGCTGGGACCATCTTCTCACCCCTGGCAGTGGAGCCAAGCAGCTCAGTTGTAAAAGAGAGAGGGGAATGCATGAAAGCCAAGTAGCTCCAGGTATACAAAAAGTGCCACTCCTCTGTCAAGGGCTCTGGTGGGACACAGATTGGCTTCTTGGGACCTTTATGAATAGTAGTGGAGCAGACTGAAAAGAGTTCTATTCCCCTTTAGTAAAACCTTGGTTTCTCCTAGTCCAAAGCCTCCTGGTCAGAGCCAAGACCGGCTGCTAGCATGAGCAGTATCTGTCCGGTGGTAGACTCCTGGGGCCATCCTACCTACAGCCCCTCATGGGGTGAGGCCACCAGCAGATTAATTTCTCCTAAGCCCCTCTAGAAAGGGAGATGCAGGACACAGGCGACTTGCAGCAGGGATGACCGAATTCCCTGCCAGGAGGAGAACTGCCCGCGCTTGGCAGCTCTGTACTTACATTGGTGGTTTTCTTGTAATAGTCGATGTTGTGAACGTCTCTAGCGAGGCCAAAATCAGCTATTTTCATCACATTGTCTTCAGTGACTAACACGTTCCTGGCTGCCAAGTCACGATGAATGCACTGTGAAAGGTGAGCAAGTCAATAAATAAGGGCTCGTTAGCTGCTCGCGCCTGGAACCGACAGCACCGTGCGGTTTATGAGCTGCCGTTTCATTGACTCCCAAGCTCATAAAGCTGTGGGCACTGTTTAACTCCTCGGTTTCTGTGTCACTGCCCCATCATGCATGCTCAGTGGGAGCCACCTCTTAGCAACACCTAATCGGCAGCCGCGGCGCGGACACAGCCACGCGTCTGTTCTCTCCAAAAGGGATGCACAGATCAGAAAGCCAACCCTCCTATTCTGTGGGTGCCTACTGGGACGTGAAGCTGTCTTTCTGCCCTGCTTCCTCCAGGAAGAGGAATGCAGGATGATGTTTGAAGGAAAAAAAGTCCTCAAATTAAGACATCCCCAATACGTGACAGTTTTTAGCTGAGAAAGAAGCTAAAATCAGCCTGCACGGTGCAGAAAGGAACTTCAAAGCCACCACAAACTATCCACCCTGAACTGCAGTCACAGGACAAAGACATCTGACATCTGAAGCTGAACTTGCTCTTGCCATAGTGCTCCCTGCCCGCAAAAAGAGATCACGCTGGCTGGTGCACTGCTTCCTGAACCCAAAGCCCGATTCTCCACCTGCTGATGTCAGGGTAAATCAGGGTTAATCTCTGGGTATGATCTCAGCTTCCTCATGGGTGCTCTCCATCTTCAGACATCTCACAAGGGAGATGTGGGAGGACAGGTGTGCACACAGCTCGATTAAAATAACATCTCCCATGGTGGAGATCCCAAGGGTGTGATGCTCACCCTGACCACTGCTGCCTGGGTCTCAGGACTGCATATCCGAAAGACAGTTACCTCTACGAGAGGTAGAGGCTGAATTGGTGAGGACAGACACCAAGGTCTGGGTTGCCTGTGATTATAATATTAGATTATATGCATTTTATGCATTCTGGGGATGCAACCAGGCCTGCAAGATGACAGCGAGGGCTGTACAGCTGCATGGTTCAGCAATGCAGACAGCATATGGGAACTTCTGCATATGGATGAAGCCTCTGGCAAAAAAAATCATGATACTTCACACAGAAAAACCTGGCGTGTATAGAGAGACGCCTGCAACGCACTGCCTGAGGTTGTCCCGCACACACAGCATCACGTCTCTGAACACACGGGCCTGATGGATGCTTCTAGCAAATGAGTTTTCTCAACTCACTTTCTGAGATGCCAAGTACTCCATGCCCCGGGCCACCTGGTAGGCGCAGGAAACCAGGTCTTTAAATGTCAGCTGCTCCTCAGGCAGCTTGCAGGTGTCGAAGGAATAGTCCATGCCAGGTGGACGACGTGCCCTGAGGTATTCCCGCAAGTTCCCCTTCGACGCGTACTCCACCAACACATAGAGGGGTCCTGCAAGCAAGAGCACATCAGGATCCACCAAAATCTCATCTGGGACGTTTTGGGCAGCCAGTAATTACACAGAAGGAACAGTCAAACCTAAGCATCCCACTGCCCTGTGAGCCCTGGGCTGCTTCACTACATACCATCCTGCGTGCAGGCACCGAGGAGGTTGATAATGTTTTTATGCTTCCCGATCATTTTCATCATTTCCATCTCAGAGACCAGGTCAGAAAGGTCCTTGTCTGTGGCATCATCTGGAGAAAGCAAGAGGAAAGCAAAAAAACATCAGGAAGAAAGCAAATGCTCTAGGAAGGAGTTGATACGACTGCGGTGTAGTCATGCAGGGCTTCAACAGGGAAACAGTACTCAAAATATGGCAGTATTTGGTTTTATTCTACTTTGGGAAGAATAATCAAAACAAAACTAAAAAATACTATCTCAAAAAAGAGATTATCTGTTCAGGAAATAAAAAGATGGAGAAAAATGTTCATATGGTAATCAATAAAGCCTTTCCTCTTCTGCTTCTCCTGGTAAGTATTAAAAAAAAAATCAGTCTTGGTACCTGGCATGATTTTCCATTTCTGATTGTTTTCCTTCCTCATCTCCAGGGGCAAAAAGTTAAGGATGGGGGAAAATCGGAGCTGGGAGAGGGACCAGAGGAAGGAATGTATTTTTTGCATGGAAAGCTGTAGTTTTTCAAGAAAAGTAGAAAAACTCCTCCTCATTTTCTACAAAAGTAGAAAAATGGAGGAAAACCTCTCTAAATGAATACTTTAGTTTGGAAAGATGGAAATGTTCCTGCTTCAAAAAACAACTCCAGAATGGACTGAAGGAAATGTAAATTAAACAAATCATTTTCCAATAAGAAATATTATTTTTTAAAAGATGTCACCCCACGTAACCTCAATCCTGGGCTGCTCACTGTTGGAGCATATGCCCCACTTGCTCCAGCTGAACTCCTCAGGGTGATTTTGTCTGAGTCTTGTCTGTGGTTACTGTGTGCAGAGGAAGGACGGGAAGCAGACACTCATCTGGAGGTGCCCACTGAATCCCCCACTCTGGCTTCCCTTTAACCTCTCAGGAGTCTGGAACTGAGTTTCTTCAACGAGGAAACTCCTCAAGAAGGAGACTGCAAACCGGATTTCTGCAAACTCCACACAAGCTCGTTGTACAAGCTTTTGCTTGAACAGACAGCACAGGTTATGGGAGGAGTAAGGAGTGGGCTGACTCACAGAGCTGGGCAGAAGTGAAGGGGGTTCCCCTTCTTCTCTGGGATGCTATTACCCCTTGGCAGAGAACTGGGTGAATTCCCACTCTCTCTTCCTGATGAGATTTGCACCTTCACCTGCTCTCCAAGGAGACAGCCCTCACCCCCAGGCTATGTGTGTGAAAGGGAAGAAAGTTTGTTCTTGCTTTCTTCTATTGTATATTTGTATAAAACACTTAAAAGGAGAGGAAATCCCAGTGCAATATGCTCTTCTGTCCTCCATGGACTTCCCATACCTTTTAACATCTTGACAGCAACCGTGATGGCCTTGTTTGGCTTGTCCTTATCAATCCCAATCGCTTCTGCCATCACCACTTGGCCAAAACAGCCCTCGCCAAGCGGCTTCCCCAGGGTCAGGCTGGAGGGAAGAACAAGCAAGTGCGTCAGTGGGTACCAGGGTGGCGACACCATGGACAGGGACAGGGACCCCGACCCGTGGGTTGACTGACCGAGAGCGTGCCAATTCCCACTTGGGGTCAGGAGGCAGCTCCAGCTCGGAGACGTTGGCCAGCATGGGCCCATCGCTGGAGGAGAGACGTGTTATCCGGACCAGGGGCGTGTTGGAATTCATGGAAGAGTTGGACTCCAACGACACCTGCTTGGGTAGAGCAAATGAAGTGTTATTGCCAACTGTATGCCAGGGCAGGCACCTGAGCTGGATTCACTGAGGGGGTTTGAGCTACCTTTGCCCACTGACACCTTTCTGGCAATTTGTAACTGGGAAATCACCCCCACCCTCCACCTGTCCATACATCCTGGCAGAAATGCACTGGTGTGGGCACCTGTGGTCAACTTTAGCTGGTGGAAAGGAGGGAGAGGTCTGGTAGTGCCCTCCAGCAGGCAGGAGGTGTAATTCGTTCAGGTGCTCTGTGTGCATCTCCATAGCATGTACAGACTATGGAGCGACTTCTCCTGTTCTGGCACTGTAAATGCCCATGAGCTGGCAGCCAAAGCCATGAAATCCATATCCTTCACCCTGTGGTTTTAGATGGTGCCTTTTGCTCCTGCCTGTTGGCAATTACACGTGGCAGAGCATCTCTAACGGCATGGAGAAAGAGGACCCTCTCCCACCTCCATGAGAACTGGTTCAAGTCACCAGTAACCTCTGTGAAAGCAGGACTTGAGCACAATTAAACGTGCTCTCACTCCCCAAATCCCCACTTCACTGGACTAAACTGTTCCCCTGCAAGATGTGCTTTCCATGACATCCATGGCTGCACTGCACAAGGACGACAAAAAAGTGGCTGCTTGGGAGCTGCTCATGAACCAGAGACAGCTGCCACCAGCTCCACTGGAACAGAAACAAAGGGATAAAAAGGGGTTAAACTCATAGACTGCAGCCAACTTATGACCTTCTTGGGCAATGTTTTTGTGGTAGAGCTTTTCACCTAGAGAGAAAATTTCAAGGAGGGAAAGAAAAAAAATAAAAAGAGGGATGACCATAGCGGGGAATAGGAATCTTGTATCTACTTTCTGTTACCTGTCTCTTGAGTGGAAATTTGGAGACTTTCTGTACAGTGGGCGTGTTCATGGCTTTTTTGTTTGGCATTTTCATCTTGTAGATAGTCACACCGGCCACCGCCAGGATAAAGATAACAAAGCCACCGCTGTAACTGACAATGCCAGTGTACACTGAGCCTGAATCATCTATTTCCATAAGCTCCTCTGCTGCGGGGTGACAAGAAATGGCAGTCAGGATGGGGCAGGCAGCTCTCCACACGCAACTACACATATGCAGCACAAGGAATCTGAGGATGACTTGCTCATCTACGCCAATTTACTGAGTGACTTTAGCGAGGGGCCTTTCCTAGGCCAGTGGTTTTCCACCTGTGGCTGCAGCTAAAACATTAGCTCAGTTTGCCTTTTTTGGGGTAATTTCACTGCTCTTTGATGCAACCCTGGGGTTTCTAAGAGCCTTCAGCCCACAGGTTGAAAACCACTGCTCTAGGCTGAAGGCATCTTCATGTGGCTGTGCTGTCCCTCTGATCCAGATCTTGCTTTCCCTGCACATCCACACCACGTAGCTGGATGCCTCGGATGTGCAAAGACTGCAGGACTGGGGTTTGCTGCACTTTGCTGATGCAGCTTCTCCAGCAACGACCTCCACCAGACCAGTGCCTGCCCTGAGGGACCAAGGGGCTTGAAGGGCACCCAGGGGTAAGGCATTGCACCGGGAAAAAGCCTCCTGAGAGCAATCTGCATCATTATTCCATGAAAAATTAGTTTTGCTGGAAAGAGACTGGAAGGTCTGGCCCAAAGAGGTGGCTGAGCCAGGAGGGTAATGGCATGAGCCCACCAGCAGTGGCTACCTGCTAGCAACAGTTTTTTGAGATCAGCAGAGCTCAGCTGTGTTTCTCCCCTTGTTCCTTCCAGGACAGGCATGTAGACCAGAGGAAGAAGCCACCGTGGGACTGGTTTTCTGTCCCCCAGAGGCATGAGGGGGCATCAAAGGAACAACCAGCAGTGGGAAACTTTATACTGAAGTCATGCCGGCATCGTGAGCTCATCAACGGCTCCTGTCCAGCACTGCTGTCCCAAAGCAGCAGCTTTGCCTGGGCAGCAGCAGGCTCCGAATCAGGTCTTTGGTGGCTGTGTCCAGGGCGACACGGAGAAAGGGCTGTTGGTGGCACTGGGGCCTGCACCAGCCTGTGTGCCAGCTGTGCAGGGCCCAACCCTGCCAAGCAGCCACCTCCTCCTGTGGGGAAGGGTTACCAGATCTCCTGAGATCAGGCACTACGGTCAGTGCCACAGCTCTCCTGGCCTTGGCCCACACCATCTCGCCCTCTGCTTCATGTCTCTCCTCCCTTAGCATGGACAGGGGCCTACAAGCAGAGGTTCCCCAGATGGGCCATATTCTGCACCTTCTCTGTGGTTCGGAGCTTGCTGCTGCACTGACAGTTGCCCTTCACTGTGTCTCACTCACTTCAATATAAAACTCCACTTCAGGTCTTTTTGGTGGATTTTCTCCTGCTTATTCTTTGATTAAATAAGAGGTGAGTTCATACAGTGTAAAACATTGCAAAAACAGCATAACAGTTGGATGAAGCACTATCAGGAGAGACTCAAAATAACAGAGACATTAGTCTTATAACCAAAGGAAACCATTTCTCATCCAGTGGATGGCAGAAGCAGAAACAGGATCAGATCAGCTATTTTAGAGCTGGCAAATAAACAGAGAAAAGACCAGCAGATCCCACTGGCAGCAGGGTTGGGCATGGAGGAACCCTCTTGAGACCCAGTAAAGGTGATAACAACCAAATGACCCGCACAGATAAAGTCACAATTAGAAATGCCAAAGTTTCCAGTTCCTAAACACATCCTGAGATGGATGTGTTGCAAGATGGACCCAAATGTGGTCTGTGAATGGGTAAGCTGAAGCGGGGATTTTGAGTGCCCTTTCAGTAAGGGTCTTCTGAACATATTCCAGGTCTGTTCTTGCACCATCTGCAAGGCAACAGCACCTAAGAGATTCAACATGAATACTGCTGGACCATGCTCATGCCTCTCTTGTAGTGGGAGGCAGATTCTGCAGGTGAAGGGACAGCACAGCCTTGTCCCCCTCTTTGGGAGACCAGACCCCTCTGTTGCATATTCTGTGCTGGTTTCATTGTCAATTGGAGTTTTGCACATGAAAGGGCCACAAAATTGAGGTCACTCTGGCCTCAGGTTTCAAGCCCACTGCAGCTTTCATTGATCGCAGATGGAGCAGGCAGCGTGCAATGCCCCTGGGAGCCGGGGCTCCTGGGCTCTCTCTACAGATGACTCTCCTCGACCTTCTGTTTGAGATCGCTATCGTGGCCTGTTCATCCGTGAAGCGGAAATAATGCTACAGCCAGGGAAGGGCGTACCCACACTAACCACTTATGCATCTAATTTTGAAGTTAGACGGAAAGGTTCCCTCATAAGATGATCCATGGTCCATGTCCAATTTAGGTGTTCTTGATCATGGGATGGAGAGGTCTCCTCCTCCCACTGGCAGTGCAAGAAGACAAAGCTTCTAATTGTGGTACTTATCATTCTCCTAATAAAGAGGCTGCGAATACCTCCTTGTTATCTAGATCAAAAAAAGATATCAGGCATTTTGTACCATTACAGCAAAGATAATTTAGATCTTGAGATGCAATGCAAAAAGTGTCAGTGGTGAATATGCAACAGAGGTCTTCTGCTGTGCGGATTTACCACCGCCACATCAAATCCCAGAGAGCCCTCCCTGGATAACGCGCCCTCGTCCAAGTGAGGGGCAGTCTGCGGAACTTGGCATTTCTAAAGCAAAACATCAAGGCACCCTGGAGAGGGAAAGAAGGAAATACCTGGTAGCACCGTCAGCCAAGCAGAGTGATGTGAGAACCCAATAGAATTCCCTGCGAGACAAGTATATTCCCCAGCATCCTCAAAAGTAACATTTCGCAAGTACAGAATCTCTAGCTCCTTATCCGTTGTGTTAACACCTGCCGTCTATGGGGGAAAAAAAACACATACATATAGAAAGAGGGAAAACAGAGAATAAGCCACATTCCCAGCAAGTGTGAGGACACCACAGGCAAATTTCAAAAGCAGATTAAGGTGGATTTTTTTTCAATGGCCCATCTTCCACATTTATTTATTCATTCCCCTTTGCAACCTGTAGTCAAAAGCAAAAAAAAAAAGTTCCCTTCACCAGGTTCTTACTCTGTCCCACTAAAGAAGCATGCAAGCAAAAGCATCCAAATGAAAAATTGCCCCCACAATATGACTGACTTTCTGGGTTAGTAGGGTGAGTTTGGGAGGGGAGGGAAGAAAGATGGTAAAAAGAAGAGAGGAAAAACAGAAAGAAAGAAGAAAGGAGGGGAGATGTAGTTGGGAAAGGCTCAAGTGCTGACCAGAGGAACATAACAAACGTTTTGGTTTATGAGTTCATCGAAAAATACAGAATTTGAGAATTTTTTCCAGAGTGGGCATGTCAATGCCATTTATTCACTACACAGCCCTTGATGCTGTAGTTATAACTCTGGCCAATTACAAGAAGGTGCCTGTATGGAACTGCACCACAGCAGTCAAACCTGCCAGGCTGGAGTCAAACCCCAGAGCCCACGGGATTGCCCTGCTCTAACACATAGTCACACGTGTCTATTTAACACATGAGCCAATGTTGATCTTTATGTCTCCATTACTTCTCCAAGGGACAAAACTGATTGTATCAGTTTTATGTGTGAAAATCTTGAAATAGCTTGGTTTTCCAGAGCTTTGAACGTCACAGGTCATTAACATGCAATTCTGTTATCAGCACTCAATTGTAAGGAAGGAAAAGGAAATAAAAGCGTGAAGAGTTGATAGCAAAATTTGACAGTCATTTTATTGTGGGAATTTTTCCATGGCAATTGCTGTATAGGCGTTACATTCTTGTAAAAAAAAATTAGCAAGAAAATAAGATAAAGCCATTCAGCGTCAGTTGACAGGGTATAATACAAAATGAATAGTAATTTTAATCACTAGCTTCTTAAAAATGTTATAGCTCATTCTTGCAGTTGCCAGGGCCTTGGGACAGAGTCTGTGGTTTACCTGGTTTTGGTTTGCGAATGTGGAGCCAAAATGGCTTTTCGGCTATGCCTACGAAATTGTTGGCTCTACACAGATATTCTCCTTCATCCTGTTCTGTCACATTGAACAGATTTAGGTTAGCATCGGCTTCAGCGTTTTTACTGATCCAAGACTGCAGGAATAGACAGAAACCTGAACTTCAGTAAACCAAACAATACCTCCATCACACCTACATTAGCTAGGGTTGACTGTTCACAGCTCTTTTCTTTCTGGCTGTTGCAACACCCCTGGCTCACCCTGCGGTGAGAGACCTACCCCAGGACCCGGGTGAAGACGAGAAGTTGCATTTGGCCCCCAAATCGCATGCAAGTGAACTCCCTAGTGGTGCGCATGTGATTTCTTTCTTAAAACACACCAGTTTCCCACTTCTCCATCTGACAGCAATCAAAGGCCCTACGGTTTCTTAATAACTCTGCAGACAGGAGCACCAGAGAAAGGGTTTAAGCAGAGACTTGTGTTTGCAACCCGGCTCAGCAAATGCTGTTTCAATTATCAGATTCAAAAATAGAATTTGGAAACAAAATATAAGCAGTGGCGGTCTGAAACTCGCTGCTGACTTTGCCTTTCAGAAATTAGCTGTAATTTTTTCCACTGCTTATAGGAGTCTCTTCTTTACTAAATAAAGTGGTGCATATAAATCAAACAAACTTCAAACTCTTAAGCAAGGGGTTTATTTCTCCTCTTCCACGCTGTCACAACAGCACATACATTTTTCCTCTCAACAGTTGTTTTTATTTTGGTTGAAAACACACAACAGTTTTGGGCTGCCTCAGAAGCAGTCTAGGGCAAGTCTAGAAAAAAATATCAAGCTTCAGTTCTGGAAATTAAACAACTTGTCTTCTGATTTTTTATCTTATGCTTTCCAGCCCAATCTCGGTGCCTTCAACCTCAAGGCCTGACCCTGCCAAGATGCCTCGAGGCCCATTAACATAGGGCTGGCAGAGCTGCTAAGTTTTTAGGACCTGAATTCAGAGGTGGCATCAGAAGAAGCCCCAATGTCCATGTCTGATGACAACACCACTGGTTCTGACTGGATCTATCTCTAAGGCTTACTTGCTGACTAGTGGGGAATCATAGTCTGCCTGCTGTTACTGCCTTGTTTATAATTAAACTGAGCACGTTTCAATGCAGAACGTACAATTTAGCCTTTGACAAAGCTTGGGCACAGTGTTGCCAGCCCCCCCCCCCCCCCGAAACTGCAATGCATTTAGTGCTCTTCTGCAAAGAAAAAGGCGTTTCCTTTGATCACAAATTAGCCCAGGCTTTCAGGAACTGATGCAGGTGATGGCTTGGTTTTGTCAGCCTGCTTAAAAAATGGCTTGAAAGTACAGCATTCAATTTATCCATCTGGACAAGGGCGAGTTTTTGCCCCCCCCCCCCCTTTGATT